ACCAGCAAGAGCAGGAAGAAGAGAAGCAGAAAATGAATTAGGGAATCTAAGCTGGGAAGGAGCAGGGCTCAGATTGTCAGCAGTTGGGTTCCCTATGAGTGAGTGGGGCATTACAGGAAGGATCAGCCTAGGATACACCCAGGGAAAGAGTGTAGTAGAGAGGAGGGCATAGTGAGGCACGTAGAGCCTTGCAGGCCCATGACAGGTAACAGTGTTGTCATCTTCTGTTCTTCCCAAGAACCCCAACAGGTATCTGGCTCTGTGAATGTAGGCCTGCATGCTCTCGGTGCTCTTGAAAAATCTGCTAACTACATGAAAGAGAAATGGACAGAGAAGGAAGAAGATCGAGGAAAAGAGAAGTGTAAGACAGAAAGAGATAACAGGATTAGGTGAGAAAGGAAAGGGGGAAAAGAATGGAAATATCTCCTGTAGGACAAGTGGGCTATGTGAAACAACGGGTATCTGAGCTGACCACATAATCTGAAGTGTGAAGTGGAAGGAGGGATATGCTAAGAAGTGTCTCACATTTGGTTCATTCGTGCACTGCCAAGCAAGTGTGGGACCTGGGTCACAAAGATGAGAAATGTGCTATTTGGCCATGATAGAAGTCTCAGCCTTGTGAGAGAGCGAGGAAGGGGATGAGGCATGACAAAAGTGAAACAACAGGAACTCCTGATGAAGTCAAGAATGGCAGGGTTGTGAGGGGGTCTGAGGATGAGAAGGGATTAGCCAGGAAAAGAAGGGAATGAAGAGCCGAAGAGCCTTTTAGGCAGACAGAGAAATATGTGCAAAGGGCCAGGAGCATGAAAGAATTCAATGTCTTTTAGGGACTATACGGATTTAAGTATGTGTAGGGATCAAAATATGAGGGAAGTAGGGAAATGGAAACACGCAGTAAGGCTGGGAAGGTTGGGAGGAGTCAGATTATATTCTCCTAAACCTCATTAAAATGTAACAATTTCTTTCAAAGAAAATGGAAAATTACTGAAACATGACAGTGACATGGTTGGATTTGCACTTTATGAAAGTCTTTCTTGCTGCTATGAGAAGAATGGATTGCAAGAAGGAAGACTGGAATAAAGGAAGGCAAGTTACAAGGCTCCTGAAAGTTTTTATGTGAAGAATTGGTGAGGTAGGAGCAGTTGCAGAGGCGATAAAGCAAAGGCAATGGAACTTCGGCAATTGCTAGAAAGGAGATGCAGTCAACAGGTTTTAAGGACCTTCTGGACTGTGGGATGTGAAGAAGGCAGTGAGTTACGGTTAATTTCTTCTGAGTTTCTAGATTGTGATAGACACTTGGGAAAGAAAGTTCAGGTTTGCAGATAGTTAGGGACCTATGAGATATTCAGTCAAGGTCAAATACCTAGCAGGTATAAAGGTCTAGAGCTCAGAAGAAATATCTTTGGGGATCATCTGTCTGCAGATGACAATAAAAGTCCTAGAAATGAATGAACTGGATCACTCAAAGATGTGTCTTCTGTGAGATAATAAGGTCCAAACTAGAACCTTAAGGAACAGTAACTTTAGAGGTCATGCAGGGAATTCTGGAACGCTAGAACAACTCCTCATAAATTCTGTTTTATTACACTCATCTGCGTATTTGTCTGTCTCCTCCCCTCTTCCCACCCCACACAGATACAGACACAGTGAAGAGTCAACTACTTGAGGGTAGGAAGAGTGACTTTCATCTTTATGCTCTCAACATTAGCAGTGTGGCTGACACATGGGTGCTCGTTCCATGCTAACAATAAAATGATGGCTCAGAAGCCAAAACAAGAACAATTCAAAGAGAACAGAAAGCTCAACAATGTTAGCTCCTGCCAAGAGATCAAGCAGTTGAGGACTTTTGAAAAAATCCCCCGGATTTGGTGGGAGAGAGGTCAATTTCCCTAATGGAGAACAGTTACACTAGAGGGACAGGGGTAAATGGGAAGTGAAGTGGGAACAGTTGAATGCAGAAGAGCTTTTCACAAAACGTGGCAGTGAAGTAAAGTGAGAAAGTCTTTTAAGCTACAGAGTGTTGCACAGTTAAAGGAGGTAGGAGACACTGGAGGATCTTGATATGCTTTCAGGAGAAATGAGAGATAGGGAGAAACTGGAGACACGGGAAGACGTGGACTCAGTCAAGTGAAGTGCGCATGGAAGAGAAGGCAGGTGTAGGATTGGCTTTAAACAGAAAGACACCTATTCATTATTATGGGAAGGAAAGGCAAACAGATTAAAGTGGATGCAGGTAAAAGTTGAGCGAAGAGGAAGAATCCTGAGGGAACTGCCCTGTATCTTCAGTGAGTGAGCACAGGTCTTCTGCTCTTAATTCTTCCCTCTCTTTTAAACCCCACATCCATTCTGCTGTGGAGTTCTGTTGACCCCACTGTTTAAAGAGTTCCTAAATCCACTTTCCCTTTCTCCTGCAGCTCTGCCAGTACAGATAAGCATTGCCCCCTCCTGGATTCCTACAGGAGCCCACTGTCTTCTTCCTGCTCAGGCTCCTCCTCTCGTCTCCAAAGCCTGTTAGTGGTATTTCTAAAACAAAGCTGGTTGTATCATTCTGAGGCTTCAAATGGTTTGATGACTCTCCATTACTCATGGCTTAAATGAACTACTTGTGGCCTACAAAATCTTGCATGATCTACACGTCTACCTCTTCTATGGATTCTCCTGTCTCTCTTCACGCTATGCTGTAAGTGCCACACTTACAAGCATACACTACTTTCTTGCACATGGGCTTTCACGTGGTGCAGCCTTAGCATGGAATGTTCTCTACCCATTCCATCTCACTTCACCTCTCCTTTGCTTGGCTGACTCCCTATTATCTACCATGTTTACATTTAAATGCTACTCCCTCCAGAGAGCCTCCTAACACTGATTTAGGTTTCCCTGCTGGGCTGCTACAAAACTCACACCACACCTCAGGAGGGCAAGAACCATGCCCTCTGTGTTTACTCTTGGAATGCCAGCTCTTACTATGATATTTGGCAGGGTAGGTGCTTGGTAGGTGTTTGCTGAACGAATGAACCAGTGAATTGATTAATTAATTTACTGAAAATAATGAGGGATGTAAGACAAGGAATGTGAAAAGAACAGAAAAAATCATGTATGTAGGTATGTTTGTATCTATTTATTTATTGAAGGCCCAGGTGGGGGTATGTATAGAAGCAAGAATTTACAGAAGTGACACTTGGTATAGTTGAGAACTCATTCTGGCTAAGGCTGAGAATTTGCAAGATGGGTACATTCAAGAAAAGTGAAACAGAGTGGCCAAGGAGAATAGGGACAGTCCTTGGCATATGAGCTGGAAGGAGAGCAGAAAGCCCGGACAGAGCAGATTGGAAATAAAACTAAGTCAAGGTCAAAAGGTCATTACAAAGTTAAAGAGCCTAACAGGAGCAAGGGCATGTGAAAGCTGAAAAGATAAAGGGGGTAGGGGGCAGAGAGTCACACAGGAGTTGTGAAGTTGAAAGGCCAACTATAGAGTGCTCTTTGCAGGAAAGGAAAGAGTAACCGGAGCACTGGAGGTGAAGACACTGAGTGTTTTGGAGGGACACTTAAAACCATGGCAAGATCTAGGGTAAGCGAATGACTGATCTAGCTTTCTGTGTTCAGGGAACAAGGAGGTAACCTCAGAAGGTCTGTGATGAGACAGGATGGTGGAGTGAACATTATAATAAGGTGAGGGGTTTATTTAGAAGTTGGGACAGCTCTTCTTTGAGTGTCTCCTAGTGGTTAAACAAGTAGCTGTGTGGTGAGGACAATTACAACACAGACTCTTGTTAGCACCAGGCCTCTGGCACACCTGCTGTGTACCGGTAGCTCTGATGAAGTACAGTACACACATATATATATATATATATAAAACCTGCATGACATGCTCCAGGCTGTGGCAGTATCTCCAGTGGATGTGTACTGTCGTGTCTCCTGAAAGGGGCTAGCAGTAAATGTCTCTTGTGGTATGTGTTGGCCATGACAAGATCCTGTGGGAACTGGTTGGTTACAACATTTCTGCTGTGGTTTGTGTTGTCCTGAAAGCATCTTAGATTGGTGCATGTGGCTTGATAGTCTCTATAGTGGGTGTTGTTGGTTTTGATAGTGCTTCTTGGCAGTATCTGACGGCTGTGAAGTATGACTTAAGGATGTATATTGCCTAGGACTTCTCCCCTGTGGGTTGAGTACAGCTGTGATTGTGTCCCCTGTGGATATTTGAAGAGCTGACATAAGCGACAATATTTTTTTGGCCTATGACCTTGTGGCTGCCAGCCCAGCCCATGCCACACTGAATTCATTGTGTGCCTAGACCTCTCCTTCCCACCCCCTCCACGTGGGACCTAGGCCTTGGGTGACCTCTCAGTGTCCCCTGCACAGGATTCTGATCTAGGAATCCCAGACACAACCTCCCAGTGGCTGTGGCATCAGTTCCCACTGTGAACGTCAGTTGGAGTGACCCACCTCCACTTCAGGCTTGGTGTGTGTCGCCTCTGCTTCTCTTTCCTTCTCCCTCCTCAGTTTCTTTGTCTCTCAGTTTGTCTGTCACACACCCATCCTCCACATTCTGACACATGGCTTCCAGAGAACCTACCACAACACTCACGCACACTGGGACTTGCTCACCATGGCACACACTCGGACCCTAAACGCACTCGCTCGGAGTGACACACACATATGCACACTGCCAGACAGACACACAGGGACACAACCTCGCAGGACACGCACTGACTCACACTCAGGCGATGTGTGCACACTTGGAAGAGCACACACACCCTGCCCTCGCCCACACCCCACACCCCCTAACGCCGCCACGAACCCCGATTTGGTGACACACGCACACAAAGACCCCCAGGCCCTGCCCCGCTCGCTCGACCGCGTCCCGCAGGCCCGGCCCCCTCCCCCATTGTCTCGGCGCAGAACAAAGCCCCCGGCTGCGCCGCAGCGAGGAGGGCGCGGACCGGGATGGGGACCGGGAAGGGGAGGGCGCGGCCGGACCGGCCGGGTGCCGCGGCACTGACCTCTGCGCGGGCTCCTCGCCCGGGGCCGGGGCACCCCGCGGTCAGCCCCCGGGGCAGCGCCCGCCCGCGCGGGGCCTGGGGCCGCGCATCGTCCACCGCAGCTACCGCGGGCCCGCAATCCCCTCGGGGCGGCGGCCGTCAGTCCGTGCTCGCTTGCTCCGCCGTCGATCGGTCCGTCCGTCCGCCGCCGCCGGGGCGCCGCCTCCTGCACAGCCGCCCCGCGGAGGATGCGAGATTGGCCGCGGCCGCCCGAGCCCCCTCCCCTGCCCGCTCCCCCGCTCCCCTCCCTCCCGCCCTCCGCGCGGTAACCCGAGCCCCCGCCCTCCGCCGCGGAGCCCCCGCCCCGCCCCTCCACTTCCCGGCCCGGCCCGGCGCCGGATCCCGGTCCTGCTTCTCTTCCCGTCTCCCGGACGAGTCCCGGCCGTCCACAGTCCAGTCCTCTGCATCCTCTCCCTTCGTCCTTCTCGTCCTCTGCCGTCCCCTCGTCCTCTTACTACAGTCCTTTTCCTATTCTCGCGCTCCGCTCTCCCTTCACCTCCATTCTGCACCTCCTTTTCTCTCCGTCTTTTCGGCTCTTCCAGCCCTTCTTCCATGCCAGTTCTCAGGTCTTCTGCAGGAGGGACTCTCCCCAGCCTCTTCGCATCGTGTTCTCCCCATCTTCTTCCCTGTAGTCTTCTCTTCCCTGTCTCTTCCCTGCAGTCTTCTCCCCATTCCTTCTCCCTGGGCCTTTCTTACCGTCTCCTCATTGCTTATAGCTTCTCTCCATTCTCTTCTTCGCATCCTCTTTTGCCTACCCCCACCTCTCTCCCCAGTCTCTCTCTCTTTCTGAACGTCCCCATTTTCTCCTGCTAGTCACCTCTCATAACCCCATGTTCTTTAACTCTTTTTTCCCTTCCCTGTCTTGCAATCTCTTCACTTTCCCCTGAATTCCAAACTTGAGGCCAGAGGTTGGGAGATACTGGACTGACTAGTTAGGTATCCTAACTTAAAACTGTATGTCCCAGAAAAACAAAACTAGAGGGAAAGAGGCAGGTAGGTGGGGAGGATTTCTCAGTTTAAGAGAGAAAATGAGGAGAGGTCAAGTCAGTCAGAAGTGGAGAATTAAGTGATCTTAAAGAGCTTCGACTCCTCCCTTTCTGACCTTCCTTAGGGTTGTGAGTAGCTGATGAGAGAAAAATAAAAAGATATTTGAGTTTAAGATGTGTATGCATGGTACAAGAAAATCAAGAACTTGTAAGGAGAGAGAGAGAACAAAGTTTATCTTAAGCTGAAGAAGGGAGAGTGATTTTGGAAGACAGACATGAGACAGAGCTGAGGACTTCAATGACATCCAAGTTTCTGGCTGAGTAGCTGGGTGGATGGCGACATTCACTGTTAGACAATAGAGTTGGGGAGGGCCAGAAGGGGGGCTGGTTTAGAAAGATGATGACTTGTGATTTGGGCTGCTGACTTTGAAGTGCCTGCTGGGTAGGTAGGTCTGTAACCCAGAAGCACAGTCTGGAATGGACATAAATATTTGGGAATCATCTGCAAATGCCGTATAAGCTTGAATATAGGGTGAGGTTTTTGCTTTTTTGTTTTTCCAAAATCATCCTTCAGGAAAGAGGGAGTAACCTTATATTTGAGTCCTTGCAAAGTCTCTCATATTACAGGGTTTGCTCTCATTTACTTTATTTTGAACAACAAACCACTAGATAGGGCAGTATGGTATGGTGACTAAGCTTGTGGACTGTGGAGCCAGACTGCCTGGCTCGGGGTCCAGGCTCTGCCATTTTCAAGCTGTGTGCCTTTGGGAAAACTGCTTAACCTATTTCTGCCTCAGTTTTCTCATCTATAAAGTGGGTTTAAGGGCTAAATTCTTTAATATAGGTAAACACTGTGCATCTGGCTCTACATAAATATCCAATAAATCCTAAGTAGTTTCGGTGTCTGGGCAGGACCTATTTACCTGAAATATCTTCAACATTGTTATTTTGGGTTCTTGTAGAGGTCATTTGCCACAGAATCCCTACTCAAAGAAATTTAATACAGCATTGGTAACTATTTCTGGCATTGTGACCTCACAATTGTATGTATAAGATGTCTCTAAATATACTTTTAAAAGATTGCTTTAAAAAGCAGTACAGTAGTATTTGGGAGGGGCTACTGGGATGCCTGAAATGCTCTGTTTCTTGAACCAAGTGCCCTTATGTGGGTGTTTCACTTTGTGACAGCCCGTTGAACTAAACACTTATGACATGCCCTTTTCTGCATAAATATTATGCTTCAGTTAAAAAGAAAAGTTAACAGTTTAAAAGTGATTTTTTAAAAAAGGCAATACATCAAATGATTCTGTGAATATCCCCCCTCACAGGATGCATGCCAAACCCAACTGCTTTAGTGTGATGCAAATGGGACTTGTGACTTGGGTTAAAGTTTCCAGTGACTGCATGTATCATCCTTGGATTCAAACTGTGCTGTGTAGTCTCCCAATCCTTCACTTAGACTAAGAGAAGGTCATCTTTTCTGGGGAAATATGTAAGATGGCTCACAAGTGATCTTAATAATGAGAAAGATACTGCTTTTGAAGACACATGGTAAAAAAAAAAGTATGAGTATCATTGTTTAACAATTTATGAGAATAGAAAAAGCAGTACTTATAAACAATGTATTATTTCATATAACACATGAATCTGAATAGATTTATCATCTATTGACTAGTAGGAGACTTTGATTTTTCCATTCTCAGCTTTACATGTGTGCATTTTTAGATTAGTCAAAGTCTTCTTGACTTTCTTATCAGGAAACCGAGGAGTCGCCTTAGGGTTGGATTGTCTTTATTGTAAATGTGACAGGAAGTAAGTGAAGCTAAGTGAGTAAGATTGCTCAAGGAGAACATGTACATCAGGAAGACAAAAGGGCCTAGGACAAACCCTGAGATGCTCCAATCTTTACAACTTCAGAACAGGAGAAGCATCACTGAAAGGGACAAGGTGTGGCCAGAGAGGGAGGAGAAAGGAAAAGAGGTGGGCAGTGCCACTGAAGCCAATGGAAAAGTCTAAGAAAGAGCCACAACACAAGGAATAGTCATCAAGTTTGAATGACACAGAAGTCAAGAAAATGAGCCCCGAAAAGTACCCACTGGCTTTTCCAAGGTTGGGTGGCTGATAACGCTGGGGACAATGGATGAGTGGAGTGGTAGGGATAGAAGTCACCTGCCACTCAGTTGCACAGGAATGAGCAGGACATGAGGAACTAAATACTTGGAGTACAACTTGTTTAAGGGATTGATTACAGGAAAGGAGAACTATGGAGTAGGATAAGGGGGCTGGGTAGGGGCTTTAGTGGATAAATGTTTTTTGTCAAATAGGAAAACTTGCATTGATTTATTTTCTTGCTACTTTCATTTATTGAAAGTATATATAAAGTTACCTGCTGCATGCAACTTTATACTTAAGACACATAGCTAATTAAGACAGGATTAAGGAGCTTGAAATAAGCTGTGAAGATAGACCTGGCAAACTGGCACCAGAAATGTAATAATAGAGGAAAGCATGCAGTTGTGGACATAGAGGGGATTCCTGATCTAGGCCAGGGTAGGAACATAAGCAAATAGTGTCATCGAGCTGACAATAAAACTGGACTCGGAAGACTGACTAAAGTATGGCTGGGGAGAATTTGGAGAGATGGACTTATAGGCAGAATAAATGGTAGCATGTTCACAATCACAAGGGCATGAAAGGAAATAGCTCTGACCATGGAAGATGGTATGGAGATGGAGGTGGTCCTGTGTTGATTGCCTTAGCTCGAGTGTAAAGCATAAGGGCAAGAGTGAGAGGAAAAAGCAGGAAGATAAATGGGACCAAATCATGCAGAATATTATATGCTATGGGAAGGTCCAGGTTCTGAGGTACCATTGAAAGGTTTAGTAAGAAAAATAAAATAAAATGTGTCATCAACATCATTTTGGCTGCTATCAAAAAATAAGAATGAAAGGAGATCAGATAGGAGGATTTCAAGTTCAAGCCCAGCCAGGGCAATTTAGCAACTTAGTGAGATTCTCATGTTAAAAGTATTCTTAAAAGGGCTGCTGGAAATGTAGATCAGTGCAAAGGCTCTGGGTTCAGTTCCCAGGTCTAAAGGAGGGAAAAAGAGCCAAGGTAGATATTTCCGAGCCACACAGGGTATAAGTGGTAAATGGAGCCATGCCAGTAAATGTGGTCAGTTACAGAATACGTAGTGAAAAGTGTCTTGGTACCCTGTAACGGCCAGGTAACAACAGAAGAGTAATAAAGGAGGTTGAGAAGAATCAGTCAGCCAAGTAGGCACCAACAAGGGAGTAGTGTCCAGTGTGCTATCAGAGAAGCCAAGGAAAGAGATGTCAGGAGAGTTAAAATATCACAATAAGATGAATCTGACTCTCTATTAGGATTTTGAAATCAAATATAGCTGATGTTCCTGGTGATCAAAGGGCAAAAGGGAAAAGATACCAACCACTGTGAGATAAGGATGGAGCAGAAGTAAAGTAGTTGTAACTACACGTGAGAGTGAAAAGTTAAAGAAGCCTAATTTGAATTAACTTAGAAAAGAAGATAAGCAAACTTGGATGGAACCAGAAACTGAAATACCATCAAGACTTTCTCTGTGTGTCTAGTTTGCTTTTCATCTCATCATTTTATGTATTAGCTTCATTTTCACCTACTGGTTTTTTAGATAACCTTTTTATTTTGGTGTAAGTTTAGACTGATACAAAAGTTGCAAAGATAGAACTGAGTTTTCCCATGTACTCTTTATTAAGCTTCTTCTAATTAACACTGACTAACATTGGTACATTATTATTAACTTCATTGTGATTTCACCAGCTTTTCCACAAATGGCTTTTTTCTACCCTAGGATTCAATTTAGTATACCACATTGCATTTAGTCATCATATTTAGTTAGTTTCCTCTGGTCTGTGACAGTGTCTCCATCTCTGCTTGTTTTTTTTTTTTTAGACCTCGAGAGTTTATTTGGAAGCTCTAATAGGGGAGTACAGCCACTTGTATACCCTTTACCTCTTAGACATGGTCTTTTGGAGGTGTTTGTCCTCTTTGAAGTGCAACTTTGGAAGGAACACATATGGAGTGGTGAGGGAGGAAGTGGATACCAGCCTAACCAGTCAGATCAGCCAAGTCAACTCTGGGGGTCAATGGGGTAACAGGTATTGTAGCCAGATCACCCTCACATTCATCCATTTTTACTTGTTTTTAAGTTTATTTTTTTATGATCTTAATGCTTTGAAGAATAGTAACTAAGAATTTTTGTAGAATTTCCTCAATTCAGATTTCTCTAAAGGTTTTCTTATGATTAAGAGTGGTGAGAAAGAATATCACAGAAGTAAAGCATTCTTCTGCCTTTTTATATCAAAGGGTACATGAATCAACATGAATATTCACTGGTGAAATTAACCTTAGTTATTGTGTTAAGGTACTACCTGCCACTGTAAAGCTAGTTCCTTTTTCCTTCTCATATTCTGTCTGTCTCTGTCTCTGTCTCTGTCTCTGTCTCTGTCTCTGTCTCTCTTAAATTTTTGAGACAGGGTGTCACTATGCAGTTCAGACTGGTCTCAGACTCATAGCAATCCTTTTTCAGTCTCCCAAGTGCTGGGATTCAAGCATTTGCCACCATGCCCAGCTTTTCCTTCCCATATTTTCTTCTTTGGAAGATTAATCTCCACCTCCTAGAGAGGGTTCCTATGGTACGTATTATAACATTG